ACACAAAGAATGGAAATTTTAAACAGAAAATAAATTTTAAAAATTAAACTAAAAGAAATAACTTTAATCTGGGGGGGGGGGGGGGGGGTTATCTGATTTTGCAAGTTCAAAAAAACACAATCAAACAATCAACTATTAATACTTTACACTAAAACGAGTAACAAGAAAATGATTTTTAGTAAGGATAAAAGATATTTTCGTTTAGCTTCGAATCCCCCATTTGCCTATGGTTGATTTCTAATGGATTAAATATGTTGGTTACCAAATTAATGTCTTACTAGTTATCATGTTCCAGTTCCTAGTAATTACCAATTCATGAACTACTATGCAATGATTTAGCACAAGTGGACACTAAATTGATTTTAAAGATTATTTGGGCTATGAATGATAAATCATATAATTACCTCTCTAAGATCAAGACAAGCAAATCAAGCACATATTACGAATTAACATGCTCTCTAACACAATCAAAGGTACTAACTTTTACCACCTAAGTCTAGGATTTGTTCAATCACTAGATCTAGTAATTTAATTGTCATAAACAACTAGATATCAAGTTTATGCAATAAGAATTATCATCTAACTACACCAAACTTTCTGGAAAATCAATAAAGATTAGAACTTTAACATGCTAGGATTATCGATCTATCAAACACGAGTTACACCAACACAATTAAATCCATAAATAACAAAATCAACTCATAGTATCAGGGTACATCCTCACCAAATGAAAGTAAAGGGTATTAGCCCATAACAATAGTAGAAACAATCATAATCAAATAGTAAACTAAGTTAAACATAGTGAAAACTAATCAAATCAAAAGATTAATGTTGTTCTTCTCGTAGATCTCTCTATCCCGTGTTCTCCAATAAAAAATTGATCTTCTTAGGGTTTCTAGAAAGTATTTAGTCTGATGTATCAACAACTCTCTCTAAAATTTGACCTAATGGTCGATTTGTGTAGATGCCAAAAATAGGCTCCACGTCGTGGCATAATTCTCGCCATGACGTGGGAGATAGTTTTCTTATGTAGGCTTTAAGACTTGTTGCAGGTCATCGACAAGGTTCCATATCACCACGGTGTGGCATGTATGTCACCACGACATAGCATCTTCTTTTTGCACATTTTCTTCTCTTCTTTACCTCTTTATGAATGATCCAAACTCCAAGTTTCCAACTTTGTTCAATTTAGTCATTTTCCTTTGAGAATGTCCTTTTTGGCTATAAAATAGAATGTATACTTTATAAGCACTAAATATATTTGTAGTTAACCAAAGTGAAGCTAAATTTACTTAAATATTTCACTAAACATATGAATAAATATAGCTATATCATCTAGCATCTTTGGTGGTTGATTCTTGCTTGGTAGATACATTAAAGAGAGCTTCTTTTTTGAAGCATAATCCATCACTTCATCAACTTTCATCTCCCATGAGAATCCAAGTCTTCAAAGGTTGTAACACTTTACTTTCTATTGCTGTTTTAATCACTCCTAGCTTTGCAAAATGATCCTTGGTGGGTAAAATGGATTTAGTTTATTCAAATCTGAAAAATTTTCTGTTGCTAATTACATTAAATTTGTCACTATAATTAGACTCTTTTTTTTAATAAAACCCAACACGACTCGCCTAAGTCATATATATACCATAGCTTGACTCGGCCAAGTCAAATCAAATTTTATCTGGAACATGGTTTTTTACGGACTCCACCGTATCCACGAATAACCACCTGAAAATCATATAAAAACATGCAAATCAACAAATTCTGCAAAATTTATGTAAAAGTACCGACATATGCCCAATGTATGATATTTAAAGCCTAAATATGATACAAATGCATGAAATAGATGAACTAAAAGATAAGTAAAGTGTATCTAAAAACATTATTATATGTTTTACAATCATCCAGATATCATAGAACTAGAAGATACTATATCACTTACTAGGACTGCTATTCATACCTTCTAGGTTTTTTAATATGGTACTTGTCATAAAGATAACATACCTTGTGTAATTTTTGTGAGTTAAAATATATATTTGTTGTGACATGTACAAGTGAGAGTTTTTTGGAAATATTTCCACTGAAACAACAAATTATAACACAAAGTACATATGCCATGTTTTTTGGAAATATATATTTGTTGTGACGAATCTTTTTAGGATTATCCATGTTTGACAAACTTTCATCTTCAAACAATTCTGTCATTGAGGATTCCAAACGTATGCATGGACGAAGTTCCATTTTGGTGATCTATTGACTAAGGCTTTGCAATTAAATTACATGAACTTTGGAGCAATATTGATTTTGATCAAATTTTCTTCTAATCATTTGTTTTTGAATTCAAAGTATCTATATTGAAGAGTCGAGAACTCAATCAATTATAAAAGCAATCAGAAATACAAACAAGAGAATGTAAATAAGATCTGGTTTTAGCTTGTATTATTTGGATGTTGCAAAAGTACAAGTGCATATAAAAATGAGACTGAAAGTTACAAATGACTAATGCAACAATACTATTTATAGTACCTCACATATAGAAAAAAGTATAGTAGGACTTCGACTATTATTGTGACCAACTGACTGTGCCTACTAAAATACATAAATATATTGAAGAACTATAATCTTCAATATATAAAGCTACGTAATACTTCGACTTTACAAAATAAAGACTTCAAACTTTGCAATATCATCACAACATTCGACTCTATAATATCCCCCTTTGTGATAGATATTATATCTTCAAGTTCCAGGTAAAGTTTTCACAACATCTAACAAAACTCTTCGTATCTCCATGTACCAACAAACAATTTTTCTTATCTCCATTAAATGTTCATTAGAGTTCTTCTTACACTTGCTGATTCTAAGAAGAATACTTTTAGGATTCACATTTGGAAACATTTCCTTGAAATCTGTATGAAATAAATATTTCTTCTTTCCTCCCTCCTTCATGTTCTTCCCTTGAAATACCACACCTTTGGGTTTCATCAAAATCTCACCATATAAATCATCATTGATCTTTAAATCCTCTCTTAAATCTAAGTTTGGATTCTTAGGCTTCTTTTTTAAGCAATAAAAAACTCGAAGTTTGTTAAACCCAAGTAGGAAAAATAATAGTCAATAAAGTTCTTGATATGCCTATAACCATTGATATGTTGCCTTGTCTTGAATCTGATTATCCTCAATATCTCCCATGATCTTTTCCAATGTGATAAGATCATTCAAGTTAATCAGAGGAAAATACGCGATAGTAAATTCACATGGAGTGTTATCCGAGTTGATAACCTTGTAACGATAGTTGGGAATTTTTCCTTTAAAAATCCCATCTTTTGTTATTGAATAAAGTGTGATTATCTTCTTTAAAGACCAGACTTCGTCCTCAAGTTTTCCAAGAACAACATGAAATGTAATCTTCAAGATTTTCAATTCTTCGCTATCTTGATAATTTTCAGGAAACTTAAACTGAGCAAATGTGAACATGGAAGGATTAAACGGAAAGTCAAGCTGATTAAAATCTAAGTTTTCAATCAAATAGATTTTCGTTGGCTATTTTTCGAAAGCATCAACTTCTCAATAAGCAACATTATCAATTGTTTCATAGTACTATGTCTTGTTGATATCACCTTTGTCAAGACCTGGTGGAGCATTTTCTCTTTTCCTCATGAAAAATATTAAGTTGGTTAAGTTTCTTAATCTCTATATCATGTAGTCTTTTCTTTTCTTATTCACTTGGCACAACATGTACATGTTTTCCTTTATTCTTCACTTAAGTAATTGAAATTGGTTTAATAATCGAAGAACCTGGACCTCCTTCAATGATATTAACACCCTTCTTTGACAGTAACTTCGAGATATTAACATTCACTGTCAAAGTTGTTGTTGTAGTAATTGTTTGAACATGTTTCACATGAATAAGAGTAGGAATTGACCAGTGAGAATATTCTTAACAACATTCAGTTTCTCAGCTCCTACCACTTTCAATGTACCACCCTTATCTCCCCCTTGTGACACGAGCATTGGTCGAGGAGCATTAGTTGACAATCGAAGTACCAAATCCAAAATTGGTGCTAATTGAGCTTTAAAAGATTCCTCAATCTAAGAGATAAGAAAATTAAGCTTCTCATCAGAAATCGAAGGTGTAAAAGAAACAACAACCATCAATATCTCTTCTTGAAACTTATTGAATGAAGTTTCAATTCCCTTGAACAACTTCCCATCTGATCCACTCTTCTTACTCAACTCCTCCTTATGTTCGATATTAAAAGCTTGAATATCTTCAATCAAATTTTGAGTAGAAAAAAGAAGAACATCAACATTCTTCTATATTCTTATACACAAACCATCAACCTTCTTTACTTCTTTAACAACAAGGTCATGAAGCTCCTTGACTTTAAGTTCAACAGATTCCTTAGAAGATTGTACATCCTTCTTTATCAGCCCATGGTGTTCTTTAGCAATATTCTGGACTTTTGTAAATTGAAACTTGTAATTGTCCAAGTTGTGATCAAGCCTCTGCTTAAGATTAGTAACAAAGGTATTGAATAAAGCCTTTGTCTTCGATTCTTGAGACTTTATCAAAAATTCAACATTTACTTTGGTAACTGATGAAGAAGAGCCATCAATATCATTAAGAAACTGTAAGGTTGCATTAAGCTTGGAATTAAGAATCTTGTACTGCTTTCCAGACATAATAACATGATCTTCAATAATTTCTTCCTCATAATCGAAGTCAAGATCAGAAAATTTAGCATATTTTTCTTCTTCTTCAATATTGAAAGTATTAACTATGGACTGAGAAGAAAATAGAGAAGTAATGGCATGTTGTAAGATACCTTCAAACGTTGGTTAATTAAAAGGAACAGTTGTAGCTTGAATACTCGAAGTTGGTAATGGTGATGTTGATGGTGGTGGAACAGTTGAAGCATCCTTCAAAGAATTCTCACCCATTTTAACGTGTGAGTCCTTATTAGATAAGTTCTCGGGGTGTTTAAAGACCTGTCCTCCTATGGATGGGATTTAGAAGTAGGACCTTTAGGTGGAATGAGAGTATTTGAATCATGAATAGAAGTCGAAGGTGTTTCACTATTTTTGATGTTTGTATCCACATTTGATGTGTTCACAGTGACATCCGAGTTTCTTGTCTCCTCGATATTTAACTTGACAGAGACATCCCTTCGTGGTGAAACAGAAGTATTGTCATGCATTATTTTATCATTATCACCTACATTCCCTTCGCTTTCAAATGTTGATAGTTGAATAGGTTCCTAAAATTCATTATCCGTCTCCTCATCTTCAGTTTCAACAACTACTTCTTCTTTATTGACAATAGGCTCAACAGTTAGCTTAGGATACTTGGACTTAGGCTTGGATGTATGTTGTTTCCCTTTCACTTTTAATACCCCATCAACTTTCCACTTCTTAGGTTGTTTTGTATTAGATGTTTCCTAAATTGTAACTCCCCTTGTCTTCGACTTTGCTTTCTTAGGAATTGAAACACGAGGATCAACACCCAATGTTTTCCTATATTGAACCAATACAGGATCTGATTCTTCCGCCAAACGAAGTATGGCATCAGAAATCCTTCCAACTATTGGAAATGCATTAGGATCATCAACCATAATATTTGGAATCTATATATGAGAAAAATGAGTCACTTCAAAACCAACTGGAACTTGAATTCCATCTTGATTATCAGCCTCTCTTAAAATCAAACTCCATAAGCGAGCACTTGCAAGCTTAGATGTCTTCTTAGAATCTATAACATAAGTGGTAAATTCACTCCGTAACAAGGAAGCATAATCCACCTTCAACCCATAATATAAACCAGCCATAACAAAATATGATTCAAGCTTCGCTTTATCAAGCCTACAGTTCCTCCTCATCAAACATCTAATAGTAAACCCAAAAAAATCAAAATAATTGTTAAATTAGACTTTCGAAACTCACTAATAATTGAAATTGGAGGATTGTGCCCCATTTCATTCATTATATGAAACACCTGTTTAGGAGTTGGTTCTTCAAACGGACCAGCAGCCGGTAAGTGGAGAATCTGAATAAATTGCTTCTTTAACAACTTCTTTGTTCCTTTAGACTCCATCTGGAACGTAATTCTATCAATATCCTGGTGTTAAATAGTAGTAGAACAAGCAAGAGATAACCATTGCATCAGAATTACAAACGGAAGATGATAAAGCGTGCAAACAAAGAAAATCGTTCAAGCGTTGACCCATCATCTTGAGTTCTTCAGGATAAACCACCAAGTTTGGATTAAACCAAACGTTGTTTGATTGGATCTTCATATGAGGAATGGAATCAACATCATCAGTTGTTTGAAATTGATCGACTGGTGTAGTTGGAGTAGACATGACAATTGTCTTTTACGAGATTTTTGCAGAGAGAATTCTAGGGTTAGGGTTCTTGAGAGAAATCAAGAATAGTAAAGTTGAATAAGAACCATAAAAGCCCTTTTATAAATGGCATAAAATTTACATTTGAACCATCTGCCAATTCCTTGGTTAAAATGTAGAACAATAAATTGCTCACCATTAATTCCTTGAAATGCATTGATTTTTGGGTCTCACTATCATCATGATTAAATGATTTCAAGATCATCAACATAAAATTTTGGCACATCTACATCCAAGATGTTTATGACTAGAGTTGTCTTAGGATATGCATCATTGTGTGTGCAATGTGTAAGAAATTTTAGAGGAAAAATATTGGATAAAAGAAACATTGTACCTCTGCCATAAAAAAATGACCAAGTAGTCATGTCTTAACTCATTATGAGAAGAGAAAGATAGCTCGATGACTTTTGCTAATACAACCTATTGGGAAGAAAATTTTTGAAGAAAAATTTCATTAAGGCTTTGCAAAAAGAGACTCGATGAGGCTTTGGACAACATGTTGCATCATGCTTCTAGGGACACTTAACTAATCAATAAGAATCGAATAATAGCTTATCCCTTTGAACTTTGTTTTTACATGCACATGTACAACACGTATTATAATGATATACCCAAATTAAAACGAATAAGAAAATTTTAACAAAAATATAAAAGATATTTTTGAATTTTTTGATTTTTGATAAATAAAAAACAAAAATAGAGAAAATCTTTTCGGGTTTTTGAATTTTCAAGAAAATACAGAAAGAAAGAATAAATTTTTATGATTTTTAATTTTTGAAATTGAAAGACAAAGGATCAAAGAAAATTTACCATAATCTTCGATTATGGATCAATCCTGTTGAATGATTTAGAGAAATATTTGAATATGAAGCAAGTAAAAGCTTTGGTATGAACAGTAACCGCTGAATGATCCAAAACCGTAATTGAAATTACGTGAGACGCGAAGTATGCAAACCTTCAACATAAAAGACAAATATTATCAATTAGATTTTGGTACATAACAAGCTTCCATCATCCCTAATCCATTTAAAATTCACATGAAAGATTTTTCGTCAAGAGTTTTTGTGAAAATATCAGCAAGTTGTTCTATGGTATTAATAGAATGAACTTCAATATTTCCATCTTCCACATGATTGTTAATGAAATGGTATTAAAGTGCAATATGTTTCATTTTATAAAGATGTACTGGATTATGAAAAATGCGAATTTCACTCCGAGAGTCACAAAATAAAGGTATATCCTTCATATTGATCGCACCGTCACGTAGTTGATTTTGAATGCATATCACTTGTCAAGTACAAGCAGCAACAACAATATACTTAGCCTCTGTTGTAGATATTGATACACCTGTCTGCTTCTTCGACTGCTAACTCACAAGCTTTCCATCCTGAAATTGACAACCTTCGGTCGTGCTTCTTCTGTCCAGTTGACAACCTCCCAAGTCTGCATTTGAGTATGCTTCATGAAATAATCAAATGTTAGCTGGATACCAAATTCCTAAATTCGGAGTTCGATGGAAATATCGAAAGATATTTTTGATAGTAGTGAGATGTGATCTTGTTGGGTTTTCTTTGTATCCGACACAATTACAAACGGACAACATGATGTCAGGTCGACTGGCAGTCATATATAACAATAAAACTATTATGCTTCAATATGTCTTTAGATCAACAACATGGTTATCCAAATAGGGACTCAAGCGCGTGCCACATGCCATAAGAACCTTCACGTCTGAAAAAACTCATCATGCAAAAATATCCGAGCAAATTCTTCATGTAATTCTCTTTATTGAGAAAAAAAATTCTTCCTTGCTTTGCCGAATATTAAAATCCATAAAGTAGTTAATCTTTCCCATCATGTTCATCTCAAACTGACTTTTCATCAATTCCTCAAATTCCTTTGATAAAGCAGGTCAGCAGAACCAAAAATTATATCATCTACATAAAATTGAACAAGCATAAGGTGATCCCCAACTTTCTTTCAAATAATGTGTGATCAACTGATCCTTGCTTAAATTTAGAGATTTTCAAAAAAATTGTTAACATTGCTTACCACGCCCTTAGTGCTTGTTTTAAACCATAAACAGCCTTATCGATGATATAACAATGACTAAGAAACTTATCATTCATAAAGCCTGATTGTTGTTGAACATAGATAGTTCCTTTGAGTACCCCATTGAGAAATGCACACTTCTCGTCCATTTGGTACACATCAAAGTTCTTGTGAGCTGCAAAAGCAAGAAAAATATGAACTGCTTCGAGTGTTGCGACAGGAGCAAAGGTTTCAGCATAATCAATTCCTTCTTGTTGACAATAACCTTTTACTAATAATCTTGCTTTATTGCAAACTACATTTATTTCTTTATCGACATTGTTTTTAAACACCCATTTAAGTCTAACCATAGAAACATTTTCTGGTTTAGGAATTAACCTCCAAACTTTATTTCTTCCAAACTCAGCCAGTTTAGATTGCATTGCAACAACCCAATCAGGATGTTCTAATGTAATCTTAATTGTCTTAGGTTCGATTTTAGAAATAAAAACATTAAAAATGAAAAATTATTGGTGAACATTAATAACTTCACTTCTTGCTCTAACCGATGCTCTTGTTAACACACCAGAATTAGGATTACCGAGAATTTGTTCTTTGGGATGATCATGAGTCCTTTTCTCCAATGGTGGAAATGATGGATCAAAATCCAAATCAACATCTTCAAATATCTCTTCTACATATAAGAAATCTTTTGCAACTGAAAAAGTGTCATTAATATCATCATGGATATTTGTATTACCTTTAACACCAGGTTCATCTTCGACTTGTGTGAGATGAGTATCTTCAATTTGTGTTCGAATTTGCTCCCCCTGAACACATGAATCTACTATGTGTTGCTCCCCCTCAACAATAGAACTCAAAGTCATCGGCTCCCCTCAAATTGAGGTTGTGTTGGCAGTTGCTCCCGCTCAACTGAAACAGGTTCGAAGTTGAATCTTCTTTAACTGGAGAACTTGGTGTCGAAGATATACATTCATTTGATTGTCTATCAGTTACTGTAGAATGATCAAAATGTTTTGATGCTTCTGTAACTTGATTATCTTCGATATTCACCTCATAATCAGTTGCTCTGTTAGGAATACCAAAAAATAGATTAAAATCAATATCAAAAGTAAGCATTTTTCTCTGAATCCTCATTAGAATTTAAAAGAATTGGATTTTAAGGAAACTCATGCTCGACTGGTTTCACATAATGATCATCAAAAGTTAGGTTAATTCTTCGAGTCCTTTTTTTCATCACCATATAATCCGTAAAATTTTGTGAATATCTAAGAAATATTCCTTCATCGGCCTTTTTTTGAAATTTTGAAAGATGATATTTCAGATTCATGATGAGACACCTACAAGGAAAAACATGGAAAAATTTGAAATTAGGTTTGCTTTTGTTAATAATTTCATAAGGGGTGATATTAAATTGTCGATGAATGAAAGAACGATTTTGAGCTAAACAAGTTGTAGAAATAGCTTATGCCCAAAATTATTGAGGTAAATTTGCATATGTGAGCATTGTTTTAGCATCTTCAAACAAAGATCAATTTCTCCTTTCAACAACACCATTTTGGTGTGGAGTATAAGGAGAACAAAAATTATGATAAATGCCAAGATTTTTAAATAATTATTCAAGAGCTTGATTCTTAAACTCAGTTCCATTGGCACTTTTGATTCTTCGAACTTTCTTCTTTAGACTCAATTCAATACTCTTGATAACATAAATTATCACTTAAGTATTTTAGAATTCTGAAGAAGAAATGAACCCGTGTAAAGCGAGAAAAATCATTTACTATGACCAGTATGTACTTCTTTCCTTTAATAGACTAAATAGTCGAAGGACCATACAAGTCAATATGTAGAAGTCCCAATGGTTCAAAAATCTTCTAGTCGATGATTCTGGATGATCTTGACAATGTTGTTTGGCTAGTTCACAAGCTGCACACAAAGAATCATTATCAAATTTAAGAACAGGTATGCCACAACTAAATCGTTTAAAACAAGTTTATTCATACTTTTGAAATTAAGATGAGTAAGTCTTCAATTCCAAAGCCAACTAAGATCATAAGTAGCATTCGATAGTAAGAAAAATGAGGGTAAGCCAATTATTCGTTTTATGTTCAGAGTGAACATATCCCCCTTCTTGTTCGACTTTATCAAAACTTTCTTCCTTTTATTGTTGGAAATGACACTTCCTTCTTCATCAAACAAAACTTGATTTCCTATTCCCTCTACCAACTAAGATATGCTTATAAGGTTATGCTTCAAACCTTCAACATAAGCAACTTGATTAACTGTAAACTTCCCATTGGCTACTTTCCTATTTCCTTTATTTTTGCACTTATGATTATTCCAAAACTTCACTACTCCAACATTCTCAAGTTTCCTAAAATCTCTCAAGTTCTCTTTCCTTCCAGTCATGTTACACGAGCATCCACTATCGATATACCAATTTTCATCATATTGCTCGTCACATAGTACCTGCAATCAATCAGAGCGATTTAGGTACCCAACGCTTTTTGGGTCCTTGTGTATTAGTATGGAATGTAGTGTGAAGTGTCGAGTTGAAAATCTAATTTCAAACCTTTGATTTGAGTTTATCAATTAAATCAACCTTATTAGTTTGTGGTAAAGAAACATAATTATTCAATATCAAAGCATTAACTTTGATTTTCTCTTTTTCAACCTTACTTTTAGAAAATTCAACTTTGTTACTTGTTTAACTTCTCTCCATTTTGTCGTCTTCAACATTGATTCTTGTGATGAAGTACTAGCATACATTGATTCACACAAGTAATTCTCATAAGCCTCTTTGATTTGTTGATATGTGCATATTTAATCATATATTTTGTACATTATCTTAATACTTTTAGCTACAATTATACTCATTTTGCGACATAAGGTACTTATTATGTTTG